TTTTTCCATAACCAAAGTGTTTTTACACTCTCTCCATAACCTAAGAGTAAATAGAGAGTGATACTTCCAATGGTATGTACTGCCTCAGCTCCCAGCAGTCCAGTCTTTGAGACACGGACAGCTGGAGGTCACTTCCACATGGTGGTCTTCTGACGTGAATGTGTCTTAATGTACCCTGAATCTGTTCATATTTTTAGCATCCATGGTTTCTATAACAGCAACTTCTACAATTCAGCCTACACTCTCAGAGACATGAAAGTATCCTACTAGATTTCTGAGCCATTACTTCCCTGGATACCTGTGCAGACTGAAGATGTCGTATCAACATGACTACACATTATGAGACCTAGTGGTCCACAGTTTCCCAATTACTCATTGAACAATTTTAAAAGAGCTAAGGTATAAATGCTAACTTCCATTTCTGAAGTATTATACTAGTTGGTGTATAAAAAAAGGTGCTTAATTCAGTCTTTCATCAACTTCAATTTCTCCTTCACCATTACCCTTCTGCCATTATTAATTTACTCCTTCTTCCACCAAAACCCTCATTCTTAGTACGACTTACTCTACTTATAAGTCAAATCCCTTCCTTTCAAGGAAAGGTTACAGTGTGGAAACCTCCTTAATAGTGAACACTGCAGTTCAGATAGCTTTTTCCTCATGAACTTACCTTCCTTGTTCACATTATTACTATCAAAAAATTTTTTTTCTTCCACCAGTGCTATTACTGTTTCAAAAATAATTTGGAGGTTACTATCTTTTCTATCTTGTGTCTACAGCTTTCTGAAGGGGTTTTTCTATTGTATAGTTAAGAATTTGTATTAACTTTTTTCAGAACAAATATTTATTATTATTTAAAGAAACATGTCCAGTAGATGATCAGTTCCTGCCTAACAACACTGGTTTACTTACTGAGAGCAGCCCTGAGGAGAAACATTTAAGGGCGTTGGCTATTGAGAAGCTCAACATGAGCTGGCAGTGTGCGTTTGCAGCCCAGAAAGCCAACCTTACACTGGACTGATCAAAAGAAGAGTGACCAGTGGGTGAAGGGAGGTGATTCTGCCTCTCTATTCCACTCTGGTGAGGCTCCACTTGGAGTACTGTGTTCAGCCCTGGGCTCCCATGAGGGACATGGATCGGCTAGGGTGAGTCCAGAGGAGGCCATGATGATGATCAGAGGGCTGGAGCCCACGAAGACAGGCTGAGAGAGTTGGGCTTGTTCAGCCTGGAGAAGAGAAGGCTCTGGAGAGAGCTTAGAGCAGCCTCCAGTACCTAAAGGGGGTCTACAAGAAAGCCGGAGAGGGACTTTTTCACAATGGCGTGTAGTGATAGGACAAGGGAAATGGTTTTAAGATGAAAGAGAGTAGATTTAGATTAGATATGGGGAAAAAATTCTTTACTGTGAGGGTGGTGAGACACTGGAACAGATTGCCCAGAGGAGCTGTGGCTGCCCCATCCCTGGAAGCAGTCAGGGCCAGGTTGGACGGGGCTTTAAGGAACCTCATCTAGTTGAAGGTGTCTCTGCCCATGGCAGGGTGTTGGAACTAGATGACCTTTTAAGTTCCTTCCAACCCAAACCATTCTATGGTTATTATTTACCACCTCCTTTGTATTGCTGTGTTGTGTTTCTAGTGGAAGCTAACATATAAACAAAATCCGTTCAACAACTATGTTCAGATACTGCTTTGGAGAGTTGCATTGTTTATCGTATCTTAGTACTACCTTAGTTTTAAGATCTCTACCCATATTTGTGTGCATGGTCCAAACACCTTGAAAAATGAAAGCACTCTCTGTGACTAAAAAAAAGTAAGCCCTACTCAAGCCCAATTGAATCTCTTCTCAGCAGAATAGCAATTGACTCATAATTCAGTTTTTCCTGATGAAAGATCGCTTTTCAGCATAGAACAGGTAACTGTGGGAAAAGCTGAAGGGGCACACACAAATGATTCTCAGTTAGGGCAGGAGGAGGAGAAATCTATCTTCACCTGCAAGTATCAAATAGCTGTTGAATTTCAGAGTGCAATTACTGAAAGGCCAAAGAGAAGACCATTTAAAATATTATTTTTGTAATGACTGTAGGGTAGGCCATGAACATTCAGAAAATAACAAGGCAACCTAGAAAAAAGAAAAACCAGTATTTTGATTTCTGTGCTTTTAAGATTTTTCTTTTGATTGTTCTGAAAACGACAGTATTCTGAGAAGAAAGCAGGATAAAAATAGTTGTTATGATCATATCACTCTGGTTTTGTCAGTCATTGCTATTTGTAATGGACATCACTTCTTCCTGGTTTTAATTTACATGCTAATATATATTTTATGTTCATAAGGGACAGTTTAACAAAGATGACACAAATTTATAGGCATTATAAATATACAGTCTCACTTGTCACATCTATAAAACTGGCAGTGTGTGTCTGTAGGAAAGGAAAAAAAATATATACATACACCCACAAGTCTCCAGGCTTCGCTTATCACTGCATACTGGAGCCGATTCAGAACAAACCCCTCAATTTCTCTGTTCAGTTTGACAGGAGATTGACCAATCTTCTTCATCAGGGCATATGTTCTCTCTGTAGTAGAAGGATCTGTTTCTGGATGAGGAACAATTTCAACCAACGGCACATAATAAGGTGGATTTACCTCAAGAAGAAACACAAAAGAAGAATGTCAGCTATCAACAAAATAACAGAACAAGCTAATATAAAGCATTTTTATAGCTTGCTACTAGCATGGATATTTTCCACTGAACACAGTAAGACTTATCTTCAGACCCTGAAAGACTTCACCAATCCACTAAAACTGGTGCAGTAATTCAAATTAATAATAATAATAAAATCTAATTAAGAAATGCATCAAATTAACTCTGTTTAACCCCAGCAAAGTTCATGGAGCTACACTAAAGATGACAGCACTCTAACAGTACTAGAAGATTTTATACGGTCTTTAGTAACTCGTGTTTTTTCATGTCATTTCAGGCTGTTTGTTGTTTTAAGACATATGGTCACCACCTATCTCTCCAAATGAAGCAAGGCATTTCCTTTTCAAGTTCCTGAACTAATAAAGTTCAGGAACTTTATAATAAAGTTATTGCTGCTAAACACCACCTGTAAGATGCAATACTTACTAGATAAGCTGTTACTAGCCCAAGCCTGTAAATATATGCTAAACAGTAACAGATATCACATACAACCCCCTGTACTTTGAAAAAGTTACAGACCAGGTTACCTTCAAACACTGTACCTAGTTTTTTTCCCCAAATGTAATTTCTCATCAAGTCCTTTGTGTGATGTATTTTTGAAGCAACAAACAAAAACATCTAAAGAACATACTAGAAACAGCTAAGAGTTCTCAGGTCATAGTATTACAAGCAGTAACACTGCCTGCATGCTCTTTGCAAAAGCAGCAGTACTTCAGCCATATTCTTAAGGTGTCCTGGTCTAGTTTCCAGGCAATCAAAGGAGCTAACATATCATAAATTGCTACCATAAACAACACTGACATAGAAAGGATGGCAATTAAGTACCGATTCTTTCACCATGCTCCCTTATAGTTAACTGCTCTTAACTGTGCTCATGTAAATGCAAGTACAGGATTTAGTCACAGCAATGAGCAAGCAGTCTTCCCTTTCTGGTGTTCTTTCTTTTCAGTACTTATATGGTTCCCTTTACTGTAGGGTCTGACCAATGCATAACCTAATGTAGGTTACATTTGCTCTAACAACTGACATAACACACTTCATTCCCTTTAAAGAGCCTTGTGTTCCAATGTAACCCTTCTCACATCAGACTCTTTGCCAGTGCCACCACCAAAGCCGAGAATGACATAATGGACATCACTGCAGGTGTGGTGCCAGGCAATTTAGCAAGACCCAAAACACTGCAAGCACCAAGACATTCTCTTAAGCCTTTTCTAACCCTTAAGTCTATCACGGATTCCAATCAGGACCAGGACAAGTTAATTGTTGAGAGAGACTGAGGCTATTATAAATTTCTTCCAAGATCAGTGTTGACAGTGATCTTATTGAAATATTCTATTTCATGAACTTGGCACAGGGAATATATGGGTGTGTTCTTGAACACACTGAGGAGACTCAGGAAGACAATTTTTTAAGAGTGAGATAATAGATGTTGGTAAAAACTAGAAGTGGTAAAATGTGGCTGAAATCGGGGATGGGGGAAGGTTTCTAAAAAATGAGAAGCCTTTCTTCAGGAGGCAGAAGAGCTTACCTTACTCTGACTAACAAAATGAAAGCTAAGAAAGGATATGACAAAGTAAATAGAAAGAATTAAGCCACACAAAAGCTGACAATAAACATAAAATGATTTTAATTGACTGTTCGTAAGACTGGAACAAAAATTAGAAGACATAAACAACTTTGAGCAGAAGTAGTGCAGTTAGAAAGAAATAATCTAACAGATAAAGCTTAATATGCTTTGATTAAACAGTTTCCTGGACAGCAAGGGACTTCCCTCAGTGGCACACAGTCTCCTCTAGCTTCATATTGCTAACTGTGTGACCTAGCAGGCATACACAGTACATGAGAAATGAACCTCTCCGCAGAACGCCTCTACCAATACACTGCCTGAAAGTGCCTGCAGAGAACAGTTGTACCTACAAGTATTCTGTGCATTTCTGTTTTACAGCTGTGTTATGGGTTTCATTTATTTTTTCTAATTTCTTAATCTATTGCTATGTTAAGCAAAGGGATGAGCTCTTTCTGCCCTTTGGGTATTTAATACAATCTCCTCAACACGCTCACCTGTGCCAGCAGTTTTACAACTTTAGCTTTTAATTTTTCTGGTATATCAAATTCCACACTTCTTGTGTTTAGTGTCTTCCAGAGCTGCTTGCTTCCTACAGCCACTAGTCTCCATGTCCTACTGTAATGTTCAAGATGTTAGTAAGGCCATGGTTAAAACAAAAAACACCAAAAGCCAACAACTACTACAGATGTAACAAACGCAGAAAGGCCCCTGAAAGAGTACCCTGCTCTTTGAGTGAAGCTGAGATTACTAAGAAAATAGTCTCAGTTGGATTGCAAAGACATTTCAGAACAATTAGACATTTTAAAGCACTCCAGAGTATTTGCTTTGGAAATATATGTATACCCTTACAACAGCAACCTAGAAAATGTTTATGTAGGGACTAGCTACCTTTCCAGATCCAGTAAAACCTGGTTTCAGAAGTGGCTCCTATAAAGACCGCAGCTCAAACTAAACAAAGCAACTGGTACAGACCAACCTGGGTAAACAGTAAGAAAGAGTAACAAAGTCAAAGACTGACAGTCAGAGTAGGGAGAAGCCCAGGAATGGGTTAAAAAAAATAATCATAGCTATAGTTACTTAATACAGAAGTTTCGAAGAGACATTATCTCTTCTCTTGCACTACAATCCCTGGAGATAAGGAACTACTGAATTTTAGTCTGGAGAAAGGTTAAACCTAAGCACAGGTACATACTTTCAACTTTCAATTTTTTATTTTATTATTATTTTTATTAAAAGGGGTTGAAAACTAATTATACAGAAAGAAACCACCCTTTCGTTCCTTTTGCTTCCCAGTCACCCCAAGGCACATTGGTGGTGGAGAGGTGTCAGAAAGGGACTGATCAAATGCTTTGACACTGCAGCATTAGGCTACAGGTAGCCGTAGAGACATTACAGTAAAGTAGCACTGTAGTTTTGTATTCATACTGCCACTCTCGAGCATGCCCAGGGAACTGACATTTACTTTACACCCTGAGGGATGCCCTGGAGATACAACATGTAGTTACCATATTGCAGGCAGCAGAGCAGTAAGTTTCTCCAGATACTGCAAGCCTTCGTAACAACAGTTCTCTCAACTGACCTGCCAAACACCAGGCTAACAAATTCGTTAGCTATTGAGTAATGGAAAACAGAAGCAGTAAGAATCCCAGTGATCAAGACAAAATGCTTTTCCATGCTGAGGAGACACATAATAAACTGCTGTCTGGCAGCCCCACATAGACCTCTACAGAGGCTCACAAGTGCCCTTCAGCATTTTGAGATTCTGCTGCCACCTCTAGTAATGCCATTTCTGCAACACTGCCCTGTCCAAGCTGGTCACAAAGCATGCAAATTCAGCTCTAAGTACAATTTGTTCCATTTCATCCACATGCTTTTCCTCTTCTGCTATACTGCTTTTGCATCAGAAGTCTGAAGAAACCAGACTCAAAAGGTTCCATCTTCTACTGACATTATCTAACAAGCACATGCAGCTCACTGTCTGGGCCCTCGCTGTTACCCGACAGCAGCTGAAAAAGGATACCAGAAAAGACTAATGATGCCACAAGAATACAGAATTTTATAGGTTTGTCTTCAAAACACAGAATTCCTAAGTTTTGGGAGCCGGTTATTGCAGTAACACACAACAGTATGTGCACAACAGCTTACACAGAACCCATCTTGAGCCAAAAATATGAATCATGCATACGCCCTCTCAATTTTGTAGATGCTGCTGCTCACAGAATGACCAAACCAAAGCTCTTCTGAAAAGCCAAGCCCCTGCATACTAATGATGGCGCACAAGCACTCCCAATATCCTTCTACATCTCTGGGTCTGCTAGGAAGAGTTTGGGATGCAGTTTAGTTAAAGACCCGTACTACTACTACAAAACTAAAACATGCCATCATACTTACAGGATGTGACACAATACACTGCTTAACATGTTTAAGGCCAGCGAATAACTTGCTGGGTAAGAGACAAGAGGTCGAGCTGCTCAAAATAGCATTGTCACCAACAATGAGATCTAACTGACTGAAAATCTTCTTTTTCAGTTCCAAGTTTTCTGGAGTACATTCCTGGAATAAAAACAAAAAAAAGTATTAGAGGTTTTCTAGTTTAGTAGCATTTATCCATGTATTTCAGACTTCACTGGTCCCACCTTGACACGTAGGAACTCAGCATAAACCATCTATTTTAATCGGCCTAGATACACTTGTGAGCCACCACACAAAAATATTTTCCCACATATAAAGAAATGGAAAGCCCAAGAGTTTCACTATGGCAGAGGATGCATCACCACACACCACAGGAGATTTAACACAAACCAAATTATTCTGCTTTGTCTAAAATATAGACTTTTACTCACACACAGAGATAACACAGTATGAAGGAATAAGACCTGGTCTCAATTTTTTCTTTTAGGAGAATTTCACGGTAGAAGTCAGTGTTCTCTCTCAGACAAGATGGAAGTTAACAGGTGTATCTCAAAAGACGACAAACTCACAATCTCCAGAAATCTGGCAGGAGATTCCAAGGTACAGATCTAGAACTTGCACTGAAACAACTCTCAGCAGCCCTCACGATTAAAAAGCTTGAATACCTCCATTCATTTGAACTCTGGGAAAGATTTCCAAAGTAGAATGCTCACTATCAGAACTTCTCCCAGAGCTACTGAGCACGTTCAGCTCTGCAGTACTGTGTGAAATTCTACATGTATGAGCCAAGAGCCATGATCTACAGTCACCAGAATTTCAGAGTTATCCCCCATTGCTACCTGAAGAGAACATGCGGAAATCCACTAGTCTGGGAACAACGACATGGAAGAGTAACTACAGTGGATCCCACAATCAACAGGGAAGATTTCAGTCTATGAGATAAAACCAGGGGATTAAAGCCACCATGTTTCCTGGGTTTTTTGGAAGGGTTTAAAAAAAATACGAACAGTATCCCAAATTTGTAAAACCTCAGCTTTGCCCATAAAACACACAAAAAATACCTGCTCTTTTGAACTCCAACCTTCTGCCACCTGTCAGTACTTCATTTTGTCCTCCCTGTTAGCTGAACAGCACATGAGGATAGGGAGAAAGGTTATACATTTAATATAATCCAAAAATTTACATTTAATACCTGCAGCTTCAGAAAG